CCAGTGTTAATCAACCGCAGGTGACATAGAGCCCTCCCCCCTGCAGCAGGAGCTGCCAGCGTAGCGCCACAGCCGACAGAAGCGTTACTCTTCACAGGGATCTATTTCAAACAGAAGGTGTTTGAAACACGCCGGGTACCCCACGGCACTAGAACACCACCTCCAGCCCCAGTTCATGAATCAAAGATGTATTTTTCCACAATTATCTGTTCATTCACAAAGAAGAAGAACAAAGAACTTAAAGAAGATTCTCTTTAATCTGTATTTACCTATTCAACAGTTACAATGGACACTGAAGAGAGTTCATTTGAGAACAGTAAACTTTTAAAACATGAACACAGGTTTTAGCGGTTTGAAGAAAAAAAGGTCAGTTTTTAAAAAAGGAGGGAGAGGTCATAGAAAAGCACAACCAGTTCAGACAGGCTTATTTACAGACACAAACCTAGCATATTCATCTGATTTGTTTACAGACAACAACATTCATAAAACCAAACATGCTACATGGCTCTGTGACAACAGCAGGTTTTCAAACAATCAGCTGTTAAGGTAACACACACCTTAACTCATTTTCTACAGTCTCAGTGCAACGAGTTGAAGTTTATACTACAGCTAAATAACTGAACTACAAATCTATATATTCCAGACCCCTGTTCAACAGATTACTGGGTATATGCAGCCAAAAAAAAGCAAACAGGATCAGTGAGATCACCTTCTGCCCCAACTTTCCATATACACCCTCATCTATCATCATTCTTACTCAGTTAATGTCCCCCCCATTCCACAAGGATCAGTAGTAACAAATCTCCCAAGAAAAGCAAACTTTAAGCCTTTCATACTTGCTGTAGCCACAAATTAACTGAACACAGCTACAGAAATGCTATCACACATTACAACTCGGCTGTTTGTCAAGTCAGGTATTTATTCACAGGGCCTCCTAGTTTGGTGAAGACACTGAGCAGGCTCTGTACATCGAAGGACAGGATCTTTCATACAAGATCAGCCACAGGCTGCAGAACCCCAGTCAGCACAGCAAGAGACACAAACCCACAGCGGTTGCTAAGGTGACATCTTCACTTCAGGGAGCCAGTGAAAAAAAAAAAGCCAGTGAGCAATACAATTCTACTAAAATTATACATTAACTCTCAAAACTGTTCCCCAGGAAACCTTTTACAAGAGTGAACAGCAGTTAAGTTTTCATTCATTTTTCTTTTCCTTGTGCTTGAGAAGTTTGTTAATCTCCCTTTTTGCCATTCCAACATACTTTGTGATGATCCCATGCTGGTTTAGTCCAGGAAAAAGCAACAGGAAACTTACTAGAGAGGTGGGAAGAGAAAAAAAACAAGTATTACTTAACAATCCTTTAAGATGCTTCTGTTACCTGTGATCCCTTGCTTCCCTTAAGCCCTTAAACAGAAAAATATAACTCCCTAAAAATACCCCCAACAAAACACAAAACCACCAAAAAAAAAAAAAAAAAAATCACCACACTCAAAAAAATTGCTCCTACCCACCTCACACTGTTTCAGTCAGCTAGCAAAAATGTTACTTCTGTTTTGCATGCTGCACACTTACCGATAAGATAGGTCAGGAAGAGATTGTGAACTTGCTGTCCAATCCAGGCAACCACAGCAAGAGAAAAAAGCATGGTCATGAAGTACTAAAAATGAAAAGGGAACAGTTATCACAGACCTGTTGGGAATTCTCCTCCTTTCCCTTCAGTATTTGGCAACACTTTAACATGTAATACTAACATGAAGTTCAGCTCTTCCACATGTGATACCTATTCACACGCTTGTCAAAACTGACATTAGAGAGTCTATAGTTCTATGTTCTCATGATTTTCAGATCATCAGTTTTACAGGATGCCAGTTCTTTTCTGTCCAGATATCCCTGAGAGTCAACACCACTCCCACTGACACAACCTCAGCCTCATACGGTACCTGAAGGTGTTTTCAGGACAGTAAACTCAGTAGTAGTTCATGCACCCAAGCTGACATATCATCAAGATTTGATTTTTTTGGACTGTTTGTGTACACCAGAAAAAAGCTGTGTTTCCAAAACCTGTCCTATCCAAACACAATTCAGCTTTATTTTAATACCAAGGGTATGCACCTAACTGCACAGTATTACAAGTCATGTATCTTGCCACTCCAAGTTTGAATAAGCTATGTGACTGGCATTAAGTCACAGCCAGAACTGCTGGTTCTTGTCTGAATAAACTGGTGTTTCAAACCACGTCCCTTGCCACACTTAAGACAAACCAAATAAAATCTTAAGACAAGAGAGATGAACTCCTGGGACTGAATACCATTTTAGGCTTCTCTTCCTTCAGCGTGAAGAGACGTTTCCACCAGCCAACAATTCGGCGACGAGATTTTACCAAACTGCTGCAGATCTCATGAAATCTTTGCTGCTGTTCTGTAGTCCTTTTGTAAAAGGAAAAAAGCCAGAAGTAAGAATTCAAGATCTCATCTGAAATTTAAAAGTATCTCCCATAGTATTTTTCCATCAGTAGAAAAGTTATCTGGTACATACCCTGGCATTTGCTTCTCTTATTTTCATACTTATCTTTCTTGAGCATTGCAATACAATTGCCCACATAATTTTTCCATACACTGACTCTCAAATTGACTCCCCAGGAGCAACCCCATTCAAACCAAGAGATCATTGATTTAAATCTGATACCAGTGCGATACACACAAGTAATACACACCTGACACCAGTCTGTATAAATTCAGTTTTTATGTTAGCTCATTATTGGACAAGAACATATATCCACTAGTCATCTTAAAGCAGATATAGCAAAATTCTCACTTACTTCTAACTCCAAATTTAGTTCACATAAGAATGAAGGACATCTTACTAGTGTTCTCACTTCTTATCTTACAGAGATTGCAGATTTCTTACTACAATGACTCTATAAAGTAGTCATTTGATATTTCCAAGTCAGACATCCCTTTTTAAAAAGTTCATGATTTATTCACACTCAAGAACCTGTTTTAATTCATTTATTTCCTCACCACTTATTGGAGCCAAAGATTCTAGGTGCAAGAGCAGGAACAAGATAATCAGCCAAACAGAGGAACATAACAAAACAGGAGACGCCTGAAAGAACTGATGGGTCCAAGTAGTAGATCATCCTGCAGAAAGGAAATAAATTATTTCTTGAAGATCAGACTGATAAATGCTACACATATTTAGCCACCAATTCAGACTGGCTCAGGTCTGCAAATAGCAGACCTACCCTCTTGCCCAAGATAAAAAGAAAATTCAAATTTGCTTCTATTGCTAATAAAGAGAGGTTTAAGTATTTCAGTATTATTACAGAGAAATACAGATGAAAAACAGTTTGGTGGGTTTTGGTTGTTTTGGTTTTTTTATTTGGGGGGGGCCATGTTTGGGGTTGTGGGTTTGTTTTTTTTAAGTATTAGGTAAAAAAAATCCTACAACACTGTAAGCATAGTATGAAGTTTGGTAGAATAAAAATTCATCACCATTGCTCTCTCAGAAGCTGACATCTACTGAACTCACCACTGAGTGGGGGATGAGGATGAGTGAGTGAACGTATGAAATAACCAGGTAGAATGAAACCTCTAATCTTGCTGGTTCTTAAGCAAGCCACAGAATTCAGATCCACTACAGATTGTCATTTGCTGTGTCTCACCTGTGAGACCTAACATTGTGGTTTAAGCCCAGCCAGTAACTTGGAACCATACAGCTGCTCGCTCACTCCCCTCACTCCCAGAAGGATGGGGAGGAGAATCAAAAGAACGTAACTCCCACGGATTGAGATAAGAGCAGTCCAGTAACTAAGGTATAATACAAAACCACTACTGCTACCACCAGTAATAATAATTATAAGGGAATTAACAAGGGGAGAGGACACAACCGCTCACCACCCGCCAACCGATACCCAGCCCGACCCGAGCAGCGATCTGGGCCTTCCGGGTAACTCTCCCCAGTGCTGTGGTATGGAATAGCCCTTTGGCCAGTCTGGGTCAGGTGTCCTGTCTCTGCTTCCTCCTGACTTCCCCTCCTCCCTGGCAGAGCATGAGACTGAAAAGTCCTTGGTCAGAGTAAACATGACTGAGCAACAACTAAAAACATCGGTGTTATCAGCGTTGTTCCCAGACTGAAAGTCAAAAACACAGCACTGCACCAGCTACTAAGAAGGAGAAAAAATGACTGCTGTAGCTGAACCCAGGACACCTAACCAAACCTGTTCTGGACAGGGAACCATAAATCTCCAATTAGGACAGTGTTGTGTCTCACATATTAAGTATGCATCACTCTAACACAGCAGTACGTGTACTGGACAAAAACTTGCTCATCGTACAAGTGTCTGTAAATGCTTAGTTGTGCCCCATGCTACTTATTTGCACTTAATAGAACTTCCTGAACACTGAAGTAAAAAAACTAAAGAAATTACACAGTCCATTGCAGGGCCAGTCTTTCTATACACCTTGCACAGTGCTACTGTGTTGAATATTCAAGTTCCTTTTTGATGAAGTAACAACTCAGAATCTAAAGTAGTTCTATTTCCCCAAAGTATTATTCAACACACGATCTTTTCTGCTATAATCACATCATTTGTAACAAAATATCCTGAAGTTCATGCAATTACTTTTCAGTTTCATTTGATTTCCATCCGCCTCACCTCCCTTAAAGATCATAAATTTCTATTAATTAAAAGACTGATTATCCCTGCCTCACCTGGTTCAGCATTTATTTTTGTAACTCTCGTCTTCTCCGTACTCCAAAGCCAAAGGCAACTGGCAAACTGCACAGCTGGCATGAACACTTATCTGTACAAGGCAGGTTGGGGTCAGCCTGACTACTGCCATGTAATATGAAAGCATGTACAAGTGCCTTCAGCAAGCCCGTTCTATCTCAAATCCAGGGCCAGGCCACATCCTCCCATCCTGTTGACTGAAAGTTACCAGCAGTCCTTCCTTTTCCTCCTTTTTCAAAGGACAGGACGGAGAATGCAAATAAGAGCTGTGCAAAACCAATTCATCCTAAACACCACTGCACAGGTGCAGAATAGGAAAGCCTGCCTTACGGAAAGAAGCTCTCCATAATGATACTGCTGTTAGTTTGGGGAAAAAAGCCAAAGGAGATAATCAGATTTAACTAAGCGGCAGGAATAAGAACACACCACGAAGGACATACAGCTGAGTGTGGCAAAAACTACAGCAACCACTGCTGGCAAACAGCTTTTGCAGAAAGCACTCTCCTCCCTCTGAGCAGGACGGGACTCATGCTACTTCCTGTTCTCAATACTTGAAGTTTTTCTTCTCAACAAAGTTTGGGTTCTGTTTCTGAATGGGTGTGGAGTAAAAGCCTTCCTATTAGGCTTTTAAAAATGTCTTACTAATTTACTTACCAGGCTTGCTGCCAGCCATGAAAGTACAGTGGTATTCTAGGCTCCTTTCACAAGCTACTTACAGAAAAGAGAAGGAAACAACACTCATCAGCGCCAGAGGGAACCAGGCTCTCTCCCAGCGAAGAACTTTATCGGTCATCAAAATCACTTCTCCCCATCCTTGCAACTGCTCTTCCAAGCTAGCAGTTTCGGCAGCCTACACAGAAGAAGAAAACTCTATTATCGCCAATCAGAGTATCAAATTAAGTCCCACACTCCAAGTAACTTTAAAAAAAGGTCATAATTAAAGACCCCAGTCACAAACCTTTCTGAGTAACTGAATTACTAATAATGTTGTAAGTTTTGCACTAAGTTACGACATCGTAGCAGTGATTCTTAAATATAGTCAAGACCCTAACAAAGTAGCAGCATATGTTATTAGACCAAATGATACCTCCTCCCAGATTTTGCCAAGGTGTTTTTCCCCAGTCTGCCATTTACAGTACTCCCTCCCCCCAGATTACTAGAAAGTTTTAAACTCTATAAAACCCTCTCAAGTTTTCAGTGCCAATATCTGGAAAATTACAACATGAAAACTGTTTTAAATATGTATATTATATGTACTTTTGAAGACAACTCTACCACATTAAACTGAAGCTTTCCAGTTGCTATCCAACTTTTTTATTATGTGGAAGATGGACAAAAACTCAGAATTCATAATAGAGGGAAGTTACCCAACTGACCGCATTTGGACTGCACATAAAGTTTTTCCACAGGTTGCCCAAGACAGTCACCAGGTAGCCTTTAAACCCCCTTCATAAATTATTCCTTCCCAGACATCTTCTGAAACGAGGCCCTATCTGCTCTGGCATCAGCTTGTTAAGCAGTTCATCCGAGATGCTCCACATTCAACACAGCTTAATAGGTTCCCCTCAGGGGGACAAGGTGTATCTCAGAGATTAAAAGACTCAGGTAACCATGAACAGAACTCATCACTGGCCAAGACCTGCACATGAGCTGTGCAGAGACAGAGCAGGTTTCATTCTCACTTAACCCAGATGAGAAGCCTGACACCACTAGAATAACAAGGACAGCTGAGTGCAGCTATCATGGTAAAGCAGTTTTCACGTGTGATACTATTGGAAACTATTTGAAAACTACAATTGAGAACAAAAGAAAAAGTAGAAAACTATCCAACGCGCTGCTGAACACCTTCCAGTTCTCCTGTTTAGTTCATGTTATTGACAGAAACTATCACATGGAGGGGAAAAAAACCCCCTGCGTTTCTCCAGAAGACAGAAACTTTTTCTTTATTATCTCTGTATGCCTGTATTTAACATCACAACCAACAGAAAACTTAATGGAAAACAGACTGGAATATAACAGAATTATTAACAGCAGCCTGCCTCTGTCTGCCTAAGAGACAACCATTATAAGTTGCTTTCCCATTGGGTCAGGTAGAGAAAACATAAAAGCTTTTCTCAACATCACCTGTGTTCCAGAGCCCATCCACCAAAACTGCTTTTTCATTAATCAAACAACATAAAGCCTCTGAGAATATGAACTTCTGCTCGAAAGGGGCATCCCTTCATATATTTTTGACAATACAGCTCTGCACACTTTTCCAGCAGAAATTCGAACCTCCTTTCGACCCCCTGCTCCTGGCAGGTTCCCCGTCATGTTCCGGGCTATGCGGCTCCCTGCTGCAGGGAGAAGCACCCATCAATAACGCCATCAAAACCTGCCCCTCTCCAACCCCTTCAGATGCTTTCACGGTAATTCTTCCACGGCAGCCGTTTACCATAACGAAGACAAATACACATATCCCTGTATTTATTTAAGCGTTGAAGTATTCAAGCCCACCCTTGACATATTTAAGCTAATCATCCAACTCCTACCAGTCTCCTGCACCGCTAAAACAGTTGTAACACTGACAAAGAGTGCTGAAACAGAGACGTGAATATTAAGAGCAAGCCGTGCACATCGGGTAGAACCAGGTATTACTGTGAGCTCCGGCCCGCTCCCAGGCACACGCACAGAGCAGCCTCATCAACCCCAGCCCCCGCCAGGCCCTAGGGCATAAACCAATCCCTTACGAGAGCTTTGAGAAGCAAACCCGAGCGCCGTGAGGTAAATCTGCGATTCA